ATATTACTCTTGCTTTCTATTTTGAATTTTTATTCAAACAAAAAATGGAAGATTTACTATCATGCAAACTACTGCAATACTGTAATAATTGTATAAATAACATCAACCCATTCATGACTGCATATTAGAATGGCTAGTTGGACATTTATTGGACAATGACATCATTTGTTTACTTTTGAACATCGGCAAAAATCAAACATTTCCCCTACTTTGAGCTCCATTTCCAGGTTCTTTTATAGTAAAATCAATCAAAATCACCTCTATTTCTATAATATGTTTTCCATTCTATCATATAAGACCAAGAAAACGAGAATACAACCATAAATACGATACGAAAATAGACCACAAAGTCGGCATTTTAATTAAAAAAAAACAGTCAGTTTTTTTTTCTCATTATGCACTGCGTGCTCCAGGATTTTTTTTATATGGTGCACATTGACCACACAGACCCATTCTCTCACATGTGGGCCTACCAGCTTTCTTCTTCTTGATTTGAAGCCGCTAGAATTGATGAGTATATGTACGTCAAACACGGTACCTCGTAAGACGTATATATACGACCGCGACAGTCAAAGGGTTAATTCATTCCAGAGAGTCTGACGAAAAACCGAGTTTGATGAAAACTGAAGCAATATTTCCCATAAGAAATAATGTAAATCCAATTAATCTGTTCAAGACACCCAAAAACATTAACAAAAAATACATTTTATAGAGAATAACTATAGTTTTACATACAGAAGACAATGAGAAATAAATATAAAGCACTAATGAAATGGATAAATGAACATTTAACATTACTTTTACTTTTACTGAAGACTCTTGTTGGCGTATGGAAGACGGCGAGGAGGGGAGAGGGAGGAGAGGTTATCTCTACCACCATCACTACCACCCTCTACCACCATCACCACCACCCTCTACCACAATCACTACCACCCTTTACCACAATCACTACCACCCTCTACCACAATCACTACCACCTTTGTAGAGGGTGGTAGTGATATTTCTCTACAAAACTTTGCAACTCATTCCACTTTCATACTTTGCTACGAGTTCCTTCTTGAATTCTATTGTGTTTCTTGCCTTCTTTATCAAATGGCTGGCACTCGGAACTTTTTTTGGCCCCATGGTGTCTTATTTAGCAGTCGCACTCAATAAACAAGCACAAAAAACAATGGATTATTATGAAATGTTTTATATGAATGCTCAGGGTAATATTCACTTGACGAGAAACAAAGCCAGACTGGCTCAGAATGCGTGGGTGGGATGCTTTGTGTGGGTGTGGGTAGACAGACACGTTCCGTAAGGCAGACAAAAACCGAGGTGATGAACGAAAATTGGGACAATATTTTGATGAAGAAAGTCGTTGAAAACCGAATTCGATGAAAACCAGGGCAAACGAAAACCAAGGTTCCAATGCATACAAAAATACAGTGGTCCCTCGCTTTTCGTAGTTCTCGGCAATCGTAGATTTCGCCAATCATAGGGGTATTTTCGGATAAACATGGACTCGCTTTTCATAGGTTGACTCGCGAATAGTAGTTCGTCCGGGACGCGTACGCACGGTGTGAGCCGGGAAGGCCTCCCTACCCAGCCAGTCTGGCATTGTTTACAAGTGAGTGAAGGTCCCCTCAAGTGCTCCTACAAAATATTTCATAATATTCCACTCATTTTAGTGCTTGCAAGTACTAAATAAGCTACTATGGCTCCAAAGAAAGCTCCTAGTGCCAAGCCTGTGGTAAAGAAGGTGAGAAATATGTACAGTGACAAAGTCTTGGGCCATTTTAGGGAAGTGTTAAAGAGACGCCAGAAACAGAGTTCTCTCCATAGTTACTTCGCGAGACAGGACTAGAGTGACTCTCAAGGTGGTCCTAGTGGCATTAAGAAACAGAGAAGAGAAGCAACCCCAGAGAAGCAATTGGTACCTGAGGTGTTGCTGGAAGGGGATTCCCCTTCCAAACTGTAAACAATCCAATCTCTTTCCTCCTCCAGTCTCCCATACACTAAGAAGAATCTCCAATAAAGGTAAGTGTTGTGCTGTTAATGTTTCATTCATCATTTCCCATTGTACTGTTTATGTACTACATGTATATTTCATGTAAAAATTTTTTTGTTTTAATACTTCTGGGTGTCAGGAACGGATTAATTGTATTTACATTATTTCTTATGGGGAAAATTGATTCGCAAATCGTAAATTTCATTTATAGTAGCTCATCCAGGACTTTGTGGTGTATTTTCGTATAGTATTTATGGCTGTATTCTCATTTTCGTGGTCTCATTTGATAGAATTGAAAACATATTATAGAAATAGAGGTGATTTTGATTGGTTTTACTATGAAAAGAACCTTGAAATGGAGCTCAAATTAGGGAAAATGTTTGATTTTTGCTGATGTTCAAAAACAAATTAAATAAATAAATAAATAAATAAATAAAATAAATGTCCAACTAGCCATTCTAATATGCAGTCATGTATGGGTCGACATTATTTATACAATTGCGTATTACAATATTGCAGTGGTCTGCATAACAGTAAATCTTCTATTCTTTGAATAAAAATTCAAAATAGAAAGCAAGAGTAATATCAGAGGGGCCTGGAGACATGACTGATGAACAAAGAAAATGTTATTTTAGAGCCAGGAATGTCTGCATTGTTCATTCTGGACCCTATTTTGAAATTGGCATATTGTTTAATTTGCTTGAAACTGGCCAAATTGCAAATTTCTGACCGTGTTATTGGGTAGTTGAAATCAGTAAATGGGCAGTTTCTTGTACTCAATCGATAGAACAAATGGAGTTCTAAAGAAATAGCTATGAATTTGGTCGACTGGAACAATGGAATTAGCTGAAAATAGGGCTCGAAGTGGGCGAAATTGCCGATTCGTAAATATCGCCAAGGTCGCTAACTTTGCGAGAGTGTAATTCCGTAAGTTTTCCATCAAATTTCGTTTTTTTTGGGGTCATTACCATTGGGAAAAGATTCTCTATCATTTCATAAGAATTTTTTTTTTCAAAAATTTTTTGACACCAGAAGACACCTCAGGATTTGGGGTTTTGACAGTCAAGGGGTTAATAAGAATGAATGGCCAAAACCTAAGTCTATGTCATCACTTTTACCAAGCAGTATATTTTGAAAAGATCATTAGAGTAGGGTCCCACTTTATGGCATTCCACTAATACAGTGATTTCAAATTATGACCAAAATTTGCTATATGGTGAGCAGTCTTTCAAATACGGCGCGCCCCACCCAGTTTGTTTACATTCTCCGTGAGCACAACTCTCTATTATGTCTGGAAATTTTCCAAAATTTCAAGTGTTTTAAAGTTACTGCATATTTTATATGTACTCTGATAATTATACTTATGTGTACCAATACCTAAATATACTTACACACCAAGCTGGCGTGCAGGTGCACATTAAAATCACTAAGTCTCTCTCTACTCGACGCCATATAATCTCTTGGGCGCATTAAATGTTGTATATTATGTTAATATAGACATTGCCATTAATCCATCTATGATATTTTTTCAAAATCATATAATAAACATGCTACATAACATATGAAGATGATACATACGCCCACAGTATAAAAACTGACATAAATATGAGATCTGCTTACCAAGCGTTTGGTAGGAGAGTCGAAGAATTAAGTTTTCTCTAGTCAAACACCAGTAACTTAACTAGAAATTTATTCCTTTTGCATGCCTTCACTCTATCTATAGTTATTCACGACCCTTGTGGGTTCAGCACTTCTTTTTTATTATGAGTGTAATAATAATTTGTAATAATAACAACTTGTAATAATAATAATAATAATAATAATAATAATAATAATAATAATAATAATAATAATAATAATAATAATAATAATGGCAGTTTGGAGGGATATGTTGTGTATCTTTATATGTTTATGCTTCTAGACTGTTGTATTCTGAGCACCTCTGCAAAAACAGTGATAATGTGCGAGTGTGGTGAAAGTGTTGAATGATGATGAAAGTATTTTCTTTTTGGGGATTTTCTTTCTTTTTTGGGTCACCCTGCCTCGGTGGGAGACGGCCGACTTGTTGAAAAAAAAAAAAAAAAAAAAAAAAAAAAAAAAAAAATAATAATGATGATAATAATAATAATAATAATAATTTGTCAGTGCATCATTCCTTCTAAAAATTACATGAGAATGGAAGTAATGATCTTTATTAATTCTACTGTATCAACGTGGAGACAACTTGTACACAATGTAAAGCGGTTTGTATTATGGTATAATACAAACGTCTATGAACGAACACCAGATGTGTTTGCCTGGTTTGTTTACATTACATGTGAGTGGGGTGGGGCGGGGAGGGCTACCATACTTCACAAACCTGACTTCCTACAAATAAAACTCACCTCTCACCCTACATTAAGACTACAAATATTTTAAGGTAATTAATGAATGCACTGTATATGTAATTTATCACTCTGGGGCGCTTTAATTAAATGTCGTAGCATATTATGTGTGGGTGGGGTGGGCTGACCTGGCTGTCTACCATACCTCTCAAACCTACAAATAAAACTCACCTCTCACCCTACATTAAGACTACAAATATTTTAAGGTAAATAATGGATGTACTGTGTGTGTAGAGTATTACACTTTTTATTGCTTTTAATGCCTAGTTCTACTGCTAACTTAATATATGTTAGTGTAAACTTGTTATCTGGCATTTATATACATTTGTAAGTGGAAAAAATTGGTGTTCTGCTTTCCGGCGATGTCTGCTCTCCGGCAGTAGCCTGGAACCTAACCTGCCGTATAAATGGGGTCCTACTGTATTTCAAATACAAAAAATATTGATGCACAAATAAGTTTACAAGACATGTTTTCATGTTTACAAGACATATTTTCGTGTTTATATCCTCATGTGCATAAGGATAAAAATTATAAGTCTCAGCAAATTAGATAAAAAAAAATATGATGACTTGAGAAAAACTGTGTACTATTCTCAGAAAAAATATACAGTTTTTTAGCTTACCTCTAGAATGTGATCAAAGAACCTTTGAATAAGAGCCATTTCATTAAGCTCATTAAAAATTATGAAGGGTCCCTCAAACTCTGGTCGAGGAGTGTATTCAAAGTCTTCGACATCTTGACTAACAATTTCTCGGTTGGTTATGAGATATCCCTGAAATGGAGGAATTTATTCTAAACACAAATTCTGTAATAAAAGTAATATTAATGTAGTAATAATTCAGTAAGTGAAGTAAGAAGGCAAATGAGCATCAATAACTTGAGGGATATGAACACTAATGCATTCACTTTAGACACCTTTATTAAAAATGTTTTGGTCCTGGGCCCTTGATCACTTCAAATATATGTATTTGAAGTGATTAATAAAAGTGTCCTAAGTAATTACATTTAAGTCCATTACCCCTTCAAGCAATGCAGTAAAATAATGTTTCCAACGAACCTTTGTCTTTTACTTTATCCCAAAAGGGTCAAAGCACCAAGGGATTTCCAAATGTTTTTGTTGCTGCTTATCCTCACAACCATCACACGTTACTCAGTATAAGAAACACTGCTTAACCCATTCATGATGTCAACCATCACCTGATTTGCTCCCAACGTGCCATTTTTTCATGAAAAAAAAAATTGCTCAAATATGCTTCTATAATATTTTTTTCATTAGGAAGAGGCCATAAAGTTTCCATATTTAGCACTTAATTTTCTTAAAAATTGAATATATACCCCATAAAATGGCAAAATTTTTACTTAATATGATGGAGATGATCTAGGCATCTGAAATCTTAAATACTTTTTCATTCTAAGCAAAAAATGCAAAATTTCATAGCCATAACCTCTCTCTCTATTAGAAAAACATCCACATTTACACACCGTTCTGGCAAGACAGTGATGGAGTGAATGATGGTGAAAATTTTTCTTTTTCGGGCCACCCTGCCTTGGTGGGAATAGGCCAGTGTGATAATAAAAAATAAAAGATAAAAAAGAAGTGCTAAACCACAAGGGCTATACAGTGCTGCAGGGCAGGGAAGGATGTGAGGGTATCAGGTAGCCAGAGGGAGAGGGATGTAATATTAGTAGGTTATGTAGTACAGTGGGGCAGTGGATAGTGTAGGGGTAGAGAGTAGCAAGAGATTGTGGAAGAAAGGGCTGAGGGAAGTGCTAAAGGTATCATCATCAGAGTTTGTGGAGTAAATCAGTTGCTGTCAAAAAGTCAATGAGAGAGTCCGGATTAAAGGAGGGTCCATCAGCAAGAAGGGAAGATAAAGAAAGAGCAGCAGAGCGGAGACAACATTGGAGGTAAATTCTGAGTGCTCGTTGATCAAGTGGGCAGTCCAACAAAATGTGGCTAACAGATACTGGAACCTGACAATTCTCAGAGAGAGGAACAGGGCACCTCTCCATGAGATACCCATGAGTAAGATGAGTGTGGTCGATGCGAAGACGGGAGAGTAGTCTCCCAACCTCGACACTGATGACAAGAAGACGGCCGGTAACCTATACTACTCGGTTTAATAGAATGAAGTTTGTTATAGAGCAGATCAGATCAACGTTCTTGCCAACGGGTGCGAAGGTGGGTAGCAATTACAGCAAAATAGTCCATGAATGGAGCACCTCTATATGAAACTGGGAGGTCATGTACTGCTGACCGCGCAGCAGTGTCTGCTTGTTTAATGCCCTGTACGTCAACATGACCAGGGGCCCCAACAAAAAAACAATATCTTTGTGCTTGGTAGAGATACGACATAACCAAAGTTGGATACGGAGAACTAGGGGGTGAGGTGTAGCAAATTTTCATATAGCCTGTAAAGCACTAAGGGAGTCTGAAAAAACCACAAATGGTGACACAGGCATAGATGCAATACGGGTAAGTGCTGCAAGAATGGCATACAATTCAGCAGCAAAAATGCTAGCTGAGGATAGTAAATGCCCTCACACGACACTGTCTGAAAACACTGCTGCAAATCCGACGCTGTCAGAAGACTTAGAACCATCTGTGTACACTGCGATGGCATGAGAATGAGAGCGGAAGTGGTCAAGAAAAAGAGAGCGGGAAGCTACCGTAGGTAGTTGGGCTTTCGCACATGGCAGTGAGAAAGAACAGACACGAACTTCCCAAGGGGGTAGGGAAAAGTGAGATGCCACATGAACATAGAAAGGTGGTAACTGAAGAGAAGACAAGCACGAATGTAGGTGAAGAGAAAAGGGACGGAGTAAACAGAGGTGACGAGCAAATAAAGAATGTCTACTAACATCAGTGACTATTCTATGTATGGAAGGATTGCGGAGATCGTGAGAGTGAACATAACAGCGAAGGCAATGGGCATCACGACGATTGGACAAGGATGGAATATTCGTTTCTGCATAAAGACTCAACAGGTGAAGAGTGAAAAGCACCTGGTGATGGATGGGATTAAGGCTAGAGAGAGTAGCAGGAGAGGCAGCCCAATAAATCTGGTCACCATAATCGAGTTTCAATAAAATTAGGGCTGAATGTAGGTGAAGGAGAGTTCTACAATCAGCTCCCCATGAAAGATGAGCAGGGGTTTTAAGAAGGTTCAATCAGCTGTGACAAGTTGCCTTCAGAGAGGTAATGTGAGGTTTCCAGGATAACATACGTTCGAACAGAAGGCTTAGAAACCTGACCGTATCACATTCTGGGATACGTGAGCCACAGAAGTACAACGGATGATCAGAGATGACAGAACATCTAGTGAAAGTAATTTGGTGAGTTTTAGTACTGGAAAATTTAAACCCATGCGTGGTAGCCCAACTGGAAATTGGTTGACAGCGCCTGCACAAGCTACAGCAAAGTCATCAACACAGAGTGATGACCAAATACTGGATGGAAGAAGAGGCCACATCTTTTATAGTAGGAGAAAGAGAGTTGTGCTCAGAACACATCCCAAGGGGACACCTTAAGCTTGGACAAAGTCCGGGGAGAGCACATTATTAACCCGAACACAGAAATGTCTGTCAGTTAAGAAGTTCTTAAGGAAGGATGGTAGATTGCCTTGAAGGTCTAAGGAGTGGGCTTGGGTCAAAATATTATACCTCCAAGTTGTGTCATATGCCTTTTCAAGGTCAAAAAAATATGGCAATAACTGAGTGGTTGAAGATTGAGACACTTATGCATAAGTGTCTCAATCTTCAACTTGTCGGTTTGCAAAACCATTCATCACAACTGAGTGGTTATTGGCAAAGGCATTATGAACATAAGTATCCAAGCGTAGTAAAGAGTCAATGGTAGAACAGTCCTTACAAAAGCCATATTGACTAGTGGAGAGACTGTTGTGTGTCTCTAAATACCACATTAAAGGGCGATTTACCAGACGTTCCATCACCTTGCAAACTGCACTGGTAACAGCAATGGGACGATAGAGAGAAGCATCATGTCCCGTAGCACCCGGTTTGCGAAAAGGGAGAGCAATGGCAGATTTCCACAGCCAGGGAAGAACTCCTTGTGACCAAATAAGATTAAAGAGCTGTAAGAGGACTGCAAGGGCTGACTGATGTAAAATGTAACATCCGAATATGAATGCCATCAGGCCCAGCTGCCAATGATCAGCAAGCTGAGAGTGTTGCCTCCAGTTCCAGAAGTGTAAAAGGCACATTGTAAGATTCTTCTTTGAGAGAAGAAAAGTCTAGGGGCACTAACTCTCTGGCAGGCTTTGAGGAAAGAAACAAGGGAAATAGATGGAGCCCCTGAGAGACATGGACCAGATGATTACCAATTTCAATGGCAATGTCAAGAGGGTTTGCTATATCAACATTGGCAACCTGAAGAACAGGAGCCTGGTCGGGAGAGTATTTACCACTCAGTTTCTGTACTTTTTTCCAGACTGCACTCATAGAGGAGGCAGAGGTGATGGTGGAAATGTAAGCTCGCCAGCAAGTGCATTTAGTGTCACGAATGACACGGCGAGCGACCGCTCACTTCTGCTTAAAATCAAGAAGTCTCTCTGTGGTTTTACTGTACTGGTACCTGCCTCATGCAGCAAGTTTCAAACGTACTGCCTGAACACAAGCAGGAGACCACCAAGGCACACACTTCTGAGAATGCCTGCCCGAGGTTTGGGGTATAGAATGAGAAGCTGCGGTTAAAACTGAGGTTGAGAAGAGGTGTAAAAGCTCATCAATAGAGGACGAAGAAGGAACTTCACTAAAAGCAATTAGTTGTGAGTAAAGGTCCCAATTTGCTTGATCAAATTGCCAGCCATGGGCTACGAAGAGGTGGTGAATATGAAGGAGAAGTAAGAATGATTGGAAAATAATCACTGTCATGTAAGTCCGGGAGGACAGACCAGGTGAAGTCTAGTGCAGTGGAAGAAGAGCAGACCGAGAGATCGATGCAAGAGAGAGTATGAGTACAAGGATCAAAATGGGTGGGAGTACACGTATTTAAAACATGGAGGGGGTGAGAAGCGATAAAACCCTCTAACTGGGATTCACAGTGAGACCCCCCCAAACGAAATGGTGGGCATTAAAATCGCCAAGTAATAGAAGTGGTGGCGGTAAGGACGAAACAAGAAAGGCAACATCCGGGATAGATAATGCCCGAGAAGGAGATACAAGGAACAGATTGTATACCACTTATTCAAGTGGATACGGGCTGCAGTGTAATGTAGCGAAGTATGAACAAATAGCTGACAGTACAGAACATCAGTGTGTATAAGAAGGGCCCTTTCATTAAAGGTTCCATCAGAAAAAGAATCCGAAGGATACAATAAATCATAGCCTGAGATGGGATGGATAACAGTGGAGTGTAATTTTGGTTCTTGTACGCAAACACCAACAAGCGAAAACCGGGAGAGGAACATCTGAAGTTCACCCCGATTACCTCTGAGGCCGTGGATATTCCACTGTAAATGGGTCATGATTGGTAACGAGAAAGATACAAGAAATCTACAGGTAAAGGTACCTATGGACTAGAGGAGTTAGAAAAGTCCACATGTAGCAGTAGCGGAAAACATTCAAGCAGTAAAGGAATGAGACGCTGCTTGAACTGGAGGGAACTGGAGAAGAAGTGGGGGAGGGGGACAGAAGAGGAAGAAACCTGGGAGGGGGCAGAAGAGGAAGAAACTTGGGAGGGGACAGGGAAGGAAGGTACAGTACAAGGATGAGGATGAACCTCCACACTTGTAACAGAGCCAGTGAGAGGTG